GTTATCCATTCATCTGTTGATGGACATGGGTTGTTTCCTCCTTCTAGCTATTGTGATCATAGATGTACGAATTTCTCTTGGAGATCCTGCTTTCAGTTCTTTCGGGTGTATACCCAGAAGTGGAATTGTTGAATCATATATATTTCTATTTTTAATTTTTGAGAAACCGCCATACTGTTTTTTATAGTGGCTGCTCACTTTACATTTTCACCAACAGTAGTGCTAATGAGTTTTTATCTGATACTTTGTACTATTGTCTACCAAAAAGATGTCCTGTCAGGACAAAAGGCCAGTAAGGGTTGGTTTGTTTTCATAAAACCTGGGTAGATGTAAGTTACTTTGACCTTATTAGCTGTAAGCTGTAACCAGGATAGTCACTGACGATAATTTTTAAAATGTTTCTAAAAGAATGCTATCATCGAATATTGGAAAGATCTGAAAAGTTACCTGAAAATAACCCTTCCTTGTGTTGTAAATTTTCACTTCATAATCAAAGCAGTGGGCTTGAAAGGCAGACACTGGTTTCTCCCATTGGATAGAGAGACGGGTTCCTTCAATCTTGGCTGTGACGTTCACTGGAGGGTTTACTTGATCTAGGTTAGAGAACGAGGTCAGTGATTGGGGCTGATAAATCCAATCCACTCACACTTCTCAAGGCATTTCTAAGGTGTCACTTCTCAAGTATTTGCCCTCAGGATTTAATAAACTGCTCTCCAAGCCGTAGGACTCCAGTGGCTCACATGTGACCCCTATCTTGTAACACTGAAGAATAAGAGATCCCTCCTATAAACTTCAAGGGTCCCTATTCCAATTGGCATTGAATGGTTGAACCCCTTCCCTCTTCAGCTCCTTGTAAGACCCGCCCACCGTTTCCTTTTTGCTTCTAGAGTTGGACCGAGCCCAGCGTAAAGTGATCCTGGAGACGAGCTGGCCCGGAGCTGCCCCCAAGCCCTGCCTCTACGGAGCAGGTGTGGGCCCTGAGCGGCCACTTCCCCTTGCTGGGCTAATTAGCATTTGTTTCATTTTGTTGTGTGTGTCTTCTTTTAGTTTGTTTAGGGGATAGAGTGGAAAGTTTCAGTTTTCTCTTGCATAAAGAGAATGGATTGGGCTAAGTGTGTCTTGACTTAAAAAGAACTACAGTTCTTCCCGCTGAGAACGCACTTGGTTGTCTACGGCCATGTGATATGGGTGGAAATTATTTCTAAGAGAGCATTCTTGTCTTAGGTTGACTAAGAGCTCACAGTTAATGAATCATAGGGACAAGCTAAGAATGAGACCCACTGGCTCCAGAGCCTGCCATCCTTAAGCAGAAAATTTTTAACCAAAAAAGCCTTAATTTGTTTTAGTAATCTGAGAAATTGGTCTCAATGAAATGAAAGTCATCTACGCAAATGAATTCTTGTGGTCTGTATCAGATTGTATCAATTTTCATACTAATATCATTGTTTCCCAAGTCCTTCTCAGCATTTTTTTATTACCTCTTTTCATGAAAGTGACAGTTTTAGGTTACCTAAGAAATATACTATTGAAGAGAATTGCACTATTCTTTAGTAAATGCTATGATTCTTTAAACAAAGTTATGCTCCATGTGCTATAGCGATGTCACAAGCCAAACCATGTCCTTGAAATAATAGTTTGCATATTTATTGGGTACTTGTACAAGGCACTGTCTGAACACTTTGCAATTCATTATTAGCACAATTCTCACAAAACCTTGTAGGGAGTATGAATTTCTCCCCATTTCTCAGATAAGACAGACACAGAGGAGTGACTAGCTTGTCAAGGGCACTCAGCTAGTCAGCAGAGGAGCCAGGACCCAAGCCCAGGCAGCCTGGCTCCACAGCCCATGCTAATAACCCCACTGCCACGGAAATCCTGAATGTCAATCACCACGATTGCTCTGTGAAAGGCTCCTGGTAAACGTCATTAACGCACCTACCTGGGAGGAAGGAGACTACATTCTATTCTGAGAGCTGAACAAAGGAAACCTTAAGTGACATGTTTATATCTGAGACCCACATGCTGAGAGAGACATTTCAACTCAGGAATATCCAGAGGACAACAGACCACGAAGGTGTCACAAGAGAGCGGGCAGGCGGCTTGGACAAGAGAGGTCTCAGGATGGAAAGCCTGGCTACCTGTGGAGAGCCGAGAGGCCATTGTGGGGAAAGGGGTCAGAATTGTTTGGAGGTGTCACCAAGCCATCACAGGACCCAGGGGCAGAAATGCCACGACACCTGTCCTAGCTGCTGAGAGATGAGATGGCTTCCTTCAGCAAGGCGTTTCCTTTCCCTGGTGCAGTGGTTCTCAACCGGGGGAGACTTTGTCCCCCAAGGGACATTGAGAAATGCCTGGGGACATATTTCTGTTGTCACAATTGCAGGGGGAAGGTGCTGCTGGCATCTAGTGGGTGGAGGCCTGGGATTCGGCTAAACGTCCTACGATGCACAGGTTGGCCTCCATGACACAATTGTCTGGCCAAAACATAGTAGGGCTGAGGCTGGGAACCTTGCCCCTGTGGTTTGTCCTCAGGAGCAGGATGGCCACTTAGCATCAGAAGCGTAGTCAAGCTGGGTGATCTTTATAACACCTCCCAACGCTGGGCTTCAGCGAGTGGGTTAGTTTAGCTCTGAGTCCATCTTACCAATGGCGTGAAGAGCAAACAGCTGATCAAAGGGCTTGATGGCAGCGTGCTTGCTGGAGCCGTTAACGTGCACCGCGAGCCAGTCCCGCCCTTTGCTATGGATAAAAGCCCTGGGAAACCAGCATGCATGGTTTCTCTTCAGTGTGTCTTGGGTGTATTCTTGGCATTCTTCGGTTTGAGAGCCATACCTAAATTGGAACACCCGTAAGTTTTTCTGACTGGAGGAAGCAACCCATTTGCATAAATAAAAATAGGTACTGACCTATAGTAGAGGAAATACTGTGTATCCTCAGGGGCATCCTTGCCGACACACCAGGTACAGTGAAGAGAAACTTGGTATGGCCTTAAGGGTGTCCAGTCACTTGCCATGGTGTTTGTGGTGCAAGTTAAATTCACAATCGAGGTTCCAGGAGACCCTAGATGGTCAAAAATAAACAGAACAAGACAGTGCCATGATAGTTTCTGATTTGTGTACTTCCTTTCAAACCATAGGGATTGGGAGCACCTTATCCACCGTCAAAAGTAATCACCACCACGTATTTATAGAAGCCTACTATTCCCAAAGAACCAGCTTACTGGGGGATGGAGCTAGGATTGCAAAGCCTGAGTTTCGACATCAAAGAGCTTTCCAACTCATTTGGAGGCGGGGGTTGTGTGTGATATACATGTAGGAAAATTCAAGAGCAATGCAATATATCATCATTCTGAGCTTGTACCCAGCAACCTCGGGGTTCCAATGCACATTTGTCGATGGCTATCTGGGGACACATTGGTGCTCGCTGCCCTGGGTCTTGGGTTTTCCAACTGTAAATGAGAGAGTTGGTTGAGGAAGGTCTCCATTGTCACTTTCCATCCTAGAACTGTTCCAAAGGGTGGTAGTTTGGGCAACACTGCCAAATAACACCGCCTCTTCAGAGACTCAGCGTGCACTAATGTGTCCAAGTCCTCGTTAAGATGCTAGCGCTGTAAGGAAATCTTGAGATTTCACACGGAACCTCTTTAATGTTCATTTCTCCCAGGATTCCCCCAGTTTCTTTGACTGGAAGCCTTGTTTTCATCGCCACCCCAATTGTCACTGTGATAATGGCGCTCTTCAGACCACACTGCAGAACACTGGCCGTGCTGTTGCTCAGAGAAGGGGAGAAGCACTTTGGGATGTGGGTCAGGGAGGACCTTGTCAAAGGGCAAGCCTGAGACTCAGTCTTGAGTGATAGAAGAGTCTTTTTAGCTTAGGGTAAGCCAATTAGATGATTATTTTTATCACTGTCACCCAGGGTCATTCAAGGGGGAGAGGCAGAGAGCCCCCTGTTGTCTCTAGAGGAATTAAAGACGAAAGGGAGGCTGGCTGAGGTCCGTCTTCTCTGTGTATCACCGTGCACGGCTGTGTACCATGGACATGCACACGCATCCATTCTCGTGTGTACGTGAGAACCTGCCCATGCTCTAAACGCCCAGATGCTCCGTGCCCACGTGTGGCCGGCCGTTCCTGGAGCCGGCTTGTCTCCCAGTTCCCTTCCAAAGAATGAATTATTTGGTGTGAATTCAGTTTGATTCAAGGCAGAAATAATTAATTTTTCGTCAGTGTCACCTGTATTGGTGTGCTCAGAGGACAATTAGAATTGCAGGAATGTCATTCTGAAAGGAACGTTACAGGGATACTGCAGTTGTTTATTTAGAGAGGTGGGAAGTGGTTCAATGTAAAGCCCTCCATGGCCTGCATTTGTGATCTTGTGTCCGCCTTGGATTAAATGCTGTACTTGGATTCAAGTCCAGTGTGAACTGGCTGATATACAGTCTAAATAATGCATTGTAATGAGTAAAGGAGATAATCTTTACAATACTGTTCTCAGTCACCAACACAATGTGGGGGCACCGCCTTTTCATCATAATGTGACAAAATTTCCCCCTGTTTGAAAACTTACCCACGCCTGGCTGATCAAGGCAACTGTGAGTAGGTCCGCCCACACACCCCGGGACGTGGTGGTCTGCTCCTGCTCTTTCCGTTCGTGCGTGTGCGTGTGTGCGCGCGTGTGCGTGCATGTGCGTGTGTGTGTGTATGCGCATGTGTGCGTGTGTGTGCATGTGCGTGTGCGTGTGTGTGAGTGTGTGTGCGCGTGTGTGTGCGTGTGTGTGTGCATGTGAGTGTGTGTGTGCGTGCATGTGCGTGTGTGTGTACGTGCGTGCGTGTGAGTGTGTGTGCGTGCACATGTGTGTGTGCGCATGCGTGTGCGTGTGAGTGTGTGTGTGCGCGCGCGCGCGCGTGTGTGTGTGTGTGTGTCCAAGCTTCATCAGAAGTGTCATTGGTTTTAAGTATAAGAACCCCAACTTTCTACTAGAGTATGGTATAGAGACAGTGGGTGTTACCCTTTTTTCCTCACTGCATTTAGGTTTTCAGTCTTGTGGCTTCTCTGAGAACTGTCAGCACAGTTTTCTTCCATTTCATTTGAGAAGTTACAGAATTGAAACGCACAGTATGTCAAAAGCATGTACTGCTGACTGCGCTGGATGTAATAACACGTGGGGCATTGTCCCTGACCCCGTGGGCTTGTAGTTGGGGTGGCGGCAGAAATCTGTTTGTGAAAGATGAACAACGTCACGTTGTCAGTGTGGGCAAGTAGCACAGCCCACAGAGGAGTTCTGAGAGGAAGGTCGTCCTTCCCTATATAGGATGAAACAAAGGGGCTTTCCGGAGCGGGGATGACCTGATCTGGGCTTCAGAGTACAGGAGGACTCAGAAAAGCAGACACAAGACGTGAGCCCAGGAAAGCAGTCTTTGAGGCAGGCCTGTGCTGGTGTGCAGACCTCACGGTTACAAATCCATCAGAGGAACCCTGGAGGCTGTGGTTGGAAACATGCCCTAGAACTGATTGTGAGGACCTGACCAGCCCAGATTTTGCTTATGACCATTCTGAGCTTCTGAGCAGAGGAGCGAGGGGTGTAAGTGATGTTTACAGGGACGTGCCAGGTGGCCCTGGATGGGTTGTGACAATACGGAGTGATGACAGGCTTGGATAGGATGTTACTGAGGTGGGAGGGTACTGGGCAGGAACTGACGGCTGACTCAGAAGAAAAGCGAGTTGTTAGCTCTCTGGCTTGCCCATATCTACAAAGCCTGAGCTGTAAAACGGGGCTCTTGAAGGCGTGCCTTACCTGGCGGGGCTTTGAGCTCAGCAGAAACCCAGCTGCTGGCCAGGAGGGCGTGGTCGCTCCACGGGATGGTCTGCACACTTGCTGAAAAGCCTTGGTGAAGAACGCTCACATGTTTGCTTTCAGTGTTCCTGGTTTCAAACTAAAAATAAAACCCACAAGTCATGATACGTAAAAGGGAAATAGACTTAAGAGAGCTATTCTAATCACATAGGCATTTTCTTTCAATTTTTAAGTGGCATGTAAAATGCAATGAAATAGGTTTACTAAAAAATTAAACCCACAGTTCCACAGGTATATACTTGATCCTAAACTCACTGAGTTGGATAAATTTTATATGTACAGCTTTTTACATATCAATCATACTTCCATAAAGTGGTTTTAAAAACTGAATAAATAAATTACCCAATCCTAGTATTTACACGTTTTTTTTTAAAAACCAGTGTAATAAAAACATCGAAATGAATTCCTCAATAATACTTGAACACATTTGTCTTAATAAACCAAACTAAATATTACAAATAAGTTTCCAGTTCCCTTTGACCACTGTCTCCAGTTCTGGTCTTCTCCCATGGATAACAGAAAATTGACAGAAAATTCCAGATTGTCTGAAAAACAGTTAATGCTATGCAATTGCTTCTCCCTTTGTTTAATGTTATTAAGCATCTAAAGGTACCAGATGACTTAACATACTCCTGCAGGGAACCTGGGGTTCTGAGAGGTTAAGTGTCTGGTCCAAGGTTGCCAATAAAGGAAGAGGCTGAACCGGGATTTGAACGTGACCTCTGATGGGCACCATGCCTTCCTCCCGTTTTGCTTAGCTATTTTTTTCTGGGGTGTTTGTTTGTTTGTTTGGCTATTTTAGAGAAACCACAAAACCAATATTTAATCCATTGTACCTCAGATCTTACTAAACTTTCTTTTTTGAGCGAAAGACTTGTCCCAAAGTTAAAATGTCCAGTGCTACGGCTGGGTGCTAAATGACAGGCATGCACTGCTTCTCAGCCACTTCAACAGACACTGCTCTACTGGGAACACAACAAACGGCCCTTCGGCAGTTTTTTTTTTTTCCTATTAAATTTCCTTTGATAAGGAATCAGATCGAACTGAAATTTACTCTAAATACAGATCACCATCAGAGCACTTACATCATCTTCTTGGGGGGCATTTATTTTCACATGATATCCTAGCATAACATTCCTTTGCTCTTGATCCGGATTCGGTTCCCAGCGTAAAAGGACTTGAGCCAAAGCGGCCACTTTGATGGTGAAATTCACAGGTGGGAGAAGTGCAGCTGTCAATTGAAAGGAAAGAAAAGGGGGCAACACAGTGTTCACTTGTACATGCGTGGCACTCTTTACATTTTTTAAATGCTGTATTGTGTACTGTAGTATTTTATTATGGCTACTAAAATGTATAATGCTGAAATAATTTTGGAAGAAGTTCCTTTAAAACTGCTTTTAACTCTCTCTCTCTCTCTCTCTCTCTCTCTCTCTCTCTATATATATATATATATATATATAGATAGATAGATAGATAGATAGATATAGATATAGATATAGATATAGATTTTTTACTTTGCCAAGCCATTTATCTATAACATCTATAGGTTTTTAATTGAAACATGAATGTTTTAGTCTATCCTTATTCACTATAACCATAGTTTTCAAACTGAGGGTCATTATCCACTAATTGGCTAGGATACTTTATTGGTTTGTGGCTAGTAATTTTTTTTAATGACATGGAAGAACAGAATAGGGAAGACATCAAATATACTAAGTACTGCTTCGTGCATCAAATATAATAAGAATAAATTCTGTTTCATGAACCTCTTCTATCCATTATATAAGTGTACGTATGCATTTGTATGTGTGCTGGTTCATGATGTAAAATGGATTTATTTCTTGGTATGATTCAAAGTCAAAACAAATTTGTCAGCAAAACTACTTAAATAGACATTTCTGGGGGAAAATGTTTGTTTATTTCTTCTTAATGAACCACTCTCTAACTTTGCTTTCAAAGTAAAAGCTTTCATTTCAATTACAAAAATCAAGGTCTGCTCATTTCAGAAATTTTGGAAAGCACAGATGAGGAAACAAAGAAAGAAAATTGACCCCTAATTTTACCACTGAGAATGGTATTTACATGTAATTCATTATCCCTTTTTTCCTGGGCATACATAAATTAAACATTCTACAGTTTTTTCTACAATTAGGATAATATTGTACCACAATTATGAAACCTTCTTTGATTCTTACACTATGTGGTCAGAATGTTTCCATCCACCTTGACTATTTAATAGCTGCCCATGGCCCCCATCCACACTCACGTGCGGACTCCCCGCGCTCTGTCTGCAATGCACTGTCTGTTGTGGTCACCACTGGCCACATGTGGCTACTTCGATTTAAACAAATGTAAATAAAAGAAGCTCTTCATTGCCTTCATTGCATGAGCCACATTGCAAGTGCTCAGTAGTCACCCGTGGCTAGTGGCTACTGCACTGGACAGTGAAGATACGAAACACTGTTGTTATCATAGGAAGTTCTCTTAGACAATACTGGGTAGGGACCATGTGACCATTTTCTTTTCTTAGACTGTGTTATCATACCAAACCCATAGGTCAACACACCCCGGAGCTAAACATAGTGGGAGATTTTGTATTCTTTGGTTGCGGGGCTTCTATCTATTCCCTTGCATGGAAAGACATTCCGAAAGCGGCCGCCAGCTTCAGCTCATTCTGTGGCGCCCACACGCCCACACTTGCAATATGATTTCCCATTCTAGCATATCATTTACATTTCAGCCAACTTCGCTTTCTGGAAATATAGCATATTTAAAGAGTTTGTATTCTGATAAAGATAGTCTATCCTTTTAAAAAGCCACATACAATTTCCTAATTGAGGGATTATTTAGGAGAAAATAATGCTGTCATCTTTGTAGCATGCTTTTTTTTAAAAAGAAACATTGAATTTAATAGATGGCACTTACATTTTTTATCAGGAAGTAAGTCTGCTTGCAGCATCACTGCACTCCCCAAAAGAATCAGCAGTGCAGGCGTCATGATGATCAAATTCTACAGAAAACAGAAAGATGAAGGTCCAAGTGGACATTTCAAAGAAAAACCGACAGCTGCTTTCTAAAGTAAAATGTAGTCACTTGGCCATTTAACCGACATTTATGAATGGTCTGTTATGTGCTAGAAATACAAATATGAACAAACCTTGTCTAAGGGCACAAGGAAACGTGATCAATGATTGTAGTCCAATCTAAAAACTGTTCCAGCACAGGTGTGTACTGGGCACAGTAGGAGCAAAGAGACTTCTCAATTGACTCCTAAAGGATTAACGCACACACGTGGGGAAAGATGGTCCTGGGGTAGACACAGTGAGGGCCAAGCCAGAGAGAGGGGAGGAAGTCAGCGGGAGACCAGGGCAGACCTTCCAACAGTAAACGGTCTCGGCACAGATCGTCAGATGGAAAATAAACACCGTTACCATTTCTGTTGATCAGCATTGAAATATGAGCCAACAGGACAAGAAGCTTAAATCTAAAACAATTTAATGTGGAAAAGAGAAACTCTATATCACAATCCTAGAGGAAACTTGTGATCCTTTGAGCTTTGCAGAGATTGAGGGAACCCGAACAAACACAAATGGGAGCAGGCTGGAAGAGGAATTGAAAGCAGAGTGATAAGCCCAGAGACGATACAAACACATTTCTGCCTACTTGGAACAATGGGACAACAAAACTGAATTTAGAGTAGGAATGTTTTAATAACTCTGTGCGGCAGTGTGAAAAAGTGGTGAAGTCATTTCCGCGCCTGGTTTACATGTCAAAGAGAGTTGAAGCTCTTTTATCAGGAATAGTAGATTAGAAATCTTGAGTGTTTGCTCTGAAAGTTTTGAAAGGCATTTTTCATATAAAAATTAACTTTGAAGAACAAATTGTATGCTTGGCTTCCACGTGTTGTGTGCTGCCCAGGTTTTACACAGCAGCTCTTCCAATGACCCCCTCAGCTCCACCCCGCCCACTGATTCAGTGCACAGTCGTTTCTTACTCATTTCCAGGGAAGAAAAGGAGTCTGAAAGGTAAAATCATTTGTCATAGATGAAACAGATGGTAAATAAAGAAAGAGAGATCCAACCTCGGATCTCCCAACAGCGACACCTATGTTCTGTACTAATTTAAATGACTGACCATTTTCAGTTTAAAATTTTATTTAAATACTTGGGTATCTTCGAATATAATTCTGGTAGAACCACAAAAGGTAGACCTTGGCTAAATGGATACATTCAGGAAATACCAAAAAACAATCTTTCTTCATTATTATGGCTTAACTTACTAAATAACCTACTAACTTCACCACTCTCACCACTAAACTTACTAATGAAATTAATAAAATGTCACAACATAGAAGATAGAAATAGCATGTAGATAGATGTTCAAGTCCTTTTTCTTTCTCTCCATTCTCTCTCTCTCTCTCT